TAAGCTTTGTTAGTTCCAGGTTTAATATGCGCAATAAGTTCATTTCAATACATTTTGCAATAAACATTGAACCAGTCCGGCCCTCGACTAGTACCGATTTTTTTATTTTGGCCCACTTTGTATTTGAGTTTGACACCTCTGCCTTAAAAGATATTGACAATTAGAAAATGACAAAATTGGCCACTAGATGGCAGTCTCATAGCATGTCAAAGTCCATGTGTCCACAAATTCATCTAACTTTATGAATAATACTTTTTTACATGCAAAAGGTACTTTATTTTCATTCAGATTACATTCAGAGGTTGTTTTTTTTCTTATTTATCAAAGACTTGATCGAAAGAGAGAAACACCACAGAAGTGCACAAAATTATACTAAATGTAATTCACTTATTTATTTATACATCATCTGCAGTAACATCAAGAGAAATTCTCTCTGAGTCCATCACATTTGGCAGCTATACATTAATCCTGGTACTCATATCAATGTGAAGCAATAGTCCAAATGAAATACCCTTGTACTGTGTGGAAGACGGGCTAAAAGTCTCAGAAAACAAATGGCTGAATCTGTCATCAGCCGTGGAGAAGTATCTGCTTCATGTGGTCAGGCTTCCCAAATTTCGTCCTTGGTAATATTATATATTGATTTAATGGGGAGAAGGGCTAGAATAACAGTTGTGGGCTGTCAGGACACAAGACAAAAGGTTGTTTGGGGAATGCCTCTCGGTGCAGAACTGAAATAGCTGTCGGAAGAATTTGTTTTATTGAAGTTCCATTCAGATCAAATGAATACCTTTGGCATTTCCCTCTGCTTTTCCGTCTCTATTTAAACTGGAAAATAAATTGGTACTCTCCCTCATGTAGGTCTCCTCTGCCTGCGTGATATCAATCACACATGACGCACTTTAGACCACACCCCCTCCTCCCAAAGAAACTTTTCAAGAATACGAAAGCAGTATGGAAGATAAGAGAGGAAGATCAACGGACAGAGGACGTGTTGTGACGGGTGTTTATGTGACTAGGCATCCTCATTTTTAAATGTGTGACATGCTTCCAGATTTGTAAAGCTTTCTTTGGGGCCTTTTGCCTGAATATCTGCCTTATCTTTGGGAAAACTATCCAACGTTACTTATCTTTTATTTCCTCTTTGTGTTTGAACTTTAAAACCTCTGTAATTGTCTCAGCTTTTTGCAACATGGAGGATATGCTATATACATTTCTAACAGTCAATCTTATATTTTGTATTTGTGTAACTTTTCTGCAGATATCTTCTCGATAGGAAATGTGTTATAAGTGGTATAGCGTTAAACATAAATAGAGACAGCTAACATTTGCAAATTGAAATCATATTTACATTTTTATTTCTGGGTTCATTTGTTTTCCCTCTTGCTGTCATGTCACTTCACGGCGACGTCTCTTTAAGGCACGAGTCTTCATGGAGATAATTGACAAATAACAGAAATGTCAGATGAGGTAAATGTCATCACACAAATAAAAGCATGTCTGGAAAAAAATGTCAAAAGGTGTCACCTTGACTTTAAGAAACGTCCTCTTATTTACTTAGAATGTACCGTATTCCTGTGTGACAGATGGCATATTAAATATTAGGAGAACAAAACTATTTTAAAGCCCGCTTTCTTTTTGTTAAAAGCAAATCAAAAATATAATACACTGACACCCATGTACGCACATCTTTAAGGGGAAATAAGTTTGCACTGATTCAACTGGTAATTCATTTAATGAGAAATACATGCAGTGTATCCAAACTACAAATCATACTATTTGTAAACCCAATGAGTTACTATTTTCATTTGTATTTGTCTATATGTACAGTTGTATATTACTTATTTTAGAACATATATAAATAGAGTTGACTTCACACAAGAAACAATGACTTTTGAGACGTCTTATCAGCAAAATAACCGGTGTAAATAAAAGAAATGATGCTGGCTGAACCAGATCTAGGGGCTCTACTTTTAGCATCCTTGTATTGTGCATGCCGGCTCCCTGCTACACTCTCATGGTTTACTGGGATGTTGAATGTATCTGACATGACAGGTCAAATGTCTGCTGTAAAAAGATCCTATTGTATAATTGATAGAACATTTCCTAATGATATGCAGATATGTTTTCTAAGCTCATTACAGGGCTAAACTGTTGTTGGGAATGGCTGCTGAAATCACATGAATCAGTTAAAACACCTTCTGTATTAACATCTCAGAGAAATAAGCTGAAGGGGAAAGCACATCTGAAAGAGACACAGCCAGTTAGGCCGAGAGATAGAGGGATGGATATACTGTAAGGCCCCAGCGGCTATGGAAGAGCGACCCACTTAAGTCACTAAAGACTGCCAATGTGAGGCCCCTGCTTTATCAGCAAATCCTGGCCATTATACGGCTAATGCCAAGCATTGCCTGTGACATCCCCGGTCTTTCTCCAACACGGTTAGCTTTAGCTCCTGTGTCAGTGGAATACACCCAGCTTCACTTGAGGACAGCACAAAACAGTGCTTAGTGTTTCGGAGGGGGGAATCCTTTTCCGCTTGATAAGTATACTGTGCAGGAACAAATCTGACACTGTAAGGTATTGTTATCAAGGGCAGGCCCATTTCAACTCCAACAACTCCTTTTGACATCATGGAGGGCATTAAAAGAGTTTAAAGGGTTTAAACTTTCAAGTTTTTAAATGTGCACTACTGATGTGTTAGAGTAGTTTATTTGTACAATATGGCACAGGTGCACTGTTTCAAATTCAATTCATGCAGAAGTACTAACAGCAAACTTATGCAAGCCAAAAATACTTCAATAGTTTGAGACATGTAGGCTACTTATTTCCTGAAATCCTATACAAAAATAAGACAGTTTTTGGCACTCATAATAATTACACTATAAATGTCTACAGTCCCGCTCTTTAGAGGCCTTATGGTAATATAAACCCTCCTAACCCTGATAATGACTGTATCATGCTCGTTGCATTGAGCCACGCAACGCCATGTGCTTCCTATTTTGAAACTTGTCATTCATATTGTGTCAGTGTTTTATAGTTAAGTTGCAACAGAAATAGACAACAAAGAATAGGATTAAACAGACCACACAGACAGACACATAAGCACACACACATAAGGGCTGTGTGCGTGACAGCTCTAAGCTTTTGTTGTGTATTGTCTGACAGCAGCAGTAAAGTAGTAATTGAGAGATTACCTGTAAGGTGCTATCATGGCACTCCTTTATTTGAGCTCTGCCTCATTGGCCACTGAGAACATTACTAGTATGCGTGGGAAGGAGTCATACATCGAGGTTGTTACTGTAGTTTGCCTTATTTTAGCTCTTTTGAATCTGTCGTGAAGGATTTGCTCGAAAAATGGCATTTATAGCCAAAACAATGTCCAATATAATGTTTCAATTACAGGTAGATTTCATACCTTGATTCTCTAAAGGCAGGGTTGCAACGTCAGATGTTTTTTAGATATAAATACATATTTATTTAAATCAAAATTCCAGGCTCCTCCAACAATGCAACTTAATAAGAAACAGTGCAATACTTTTAGAAAAATAGAAATAAACAACGGTGCAAAATAATCAGTATTTTCATAAATGTAAACAATATTTTATAAAATCCTAGAAAAGGTGCAATAATACTCATGACCTCGCGGGCCTGACAGAACTCACAGATTTGGATTCAGCCCTATCCTCTCTGCCACAATGCTTTTTTCCGTGTGCCAACATTGAGTCAACAGTCACTTCATGTGGTTATGGGCTGAAGGTAGGGGGAGATATTTCTCTCAGACCCCGTGTGTTTACCCCCTAATCCCTGAGAAGAAGTTCACAAGCATGAGTAAAGTACAGGGATCTTTAGCTACCTCCCAAACCTGCTCAGTTTACCGCTCCCCGGTTTTTCACAGCCACACGGGGCTTGGGTAATTCCTGGGAATGTTTTTTTTGTGTGTGTCGAAGTAAGAATATAATTGGTATGAAATTACAGGTTACATTCTTAAATGGAACAATCGACAATGGTCTTTACAATGTGAATGTATGCCCTTTTTTTTTTAGCAATGTTGTTACTTCTATATATTAAAACATTTCCCAGTAAGATTAAAAGAAAATACATTAGTAGCAATGTAGACTGTGAATGGTACCCAAATAATGCACTCATGGTAGCAAATATAGGCTTTAGAAATATGTGTTTTATTCTTTTGTGTACCTTTGTACATAAAAACCTAATTGGTAAGATATATTTTGAACTGTATTCTTTAGGCCAAAAAGAGGATACTTAAACTGGGCTAATGTTATTTTATTTTAGGATTTAGCAACATCAATAATTGCGATTGTAGATTGCATCTAACTGAATAGCCCTTCACTCATCCCTTCTTTTACAAGACATCGGTAACAAGCAGCCGAATTAAAAATGTTCACGACCTTTAACTTGCCGAGAGGCCATGCTAAAAATAATGCTATGAAAAAAGCCATGAAATGTAGACAATGGCTGCAGTTACTGGAGTTTTATATGACAGAACTATGGCGGCCTTTAGGTAACGTAAAAAACACCAAAGACCTTCCCTATGTAGATTTGAAGGCGGCATTATAAAGGCAATACAATGTATTCTAAGCTTCAGGTGATTATACTCAAATGAAAACATATTTATGAGATATCATTGAACATTACATTTCTGCTAATAGATATATCCCTAAACAGATTAACCCCTAAAACACACTGGCCCTTTCAATCAAGACGAAAAACTCAGAAATGGTCTGATTGTATTATTACTACTACTAATAATACTTAAATCACGTTAGCCTGATTGCAGCTCTGTGAATGTGTCAGGCATAGGGATGTATTTCTCTCCTCTCTTTTTGAACTGCTTTGGATGAGAGTGACACCTGATGTAAATGGCTAAAATGCAAACGTCATCTAAAATGGATGATAGTTCACTTTTCCTTGAACCACTGAGAAAAATGTTTTTGCACTTGTTGTGTTTGGCCCTGACCAAGACTGGCTCTGAAGACTTCTGAGTTGTTATGTCTGGTTTGTTACATTTGTGTCTTTCTTGATATATCATCCAGTGTGGCTTCAAATGATTCTCAAGGTTGTGGTAGGACAAGAAAAAATCTAAATGAGTGTGTGGTGAGTCATAGTTTCTTGTTATACTGCCACAGTAAAGTACATCACTCTGTTTTTCTCCTGCTCCTCCTGACAACTCACAATCACTGCTCCTGGCCCGCTGCCAGGCCACAGAAGGATTTGGCCAAAAGCAAAAAAATACACTTTGAACTGAAAACAGTCAAAACACTTATTTGACTGGTAATTGTGGTAAAAAGAAAGAAACCTGAAATGATCCATTATAGGTGCCCATGGGCCCATTACTCATTCTCAAGCATCCCACAGCTTTCTTTTATATTTTGGCAGGCAGTATTGAAGTGAGTAATGCTGAATATATATTTAAGTATATTTTAAGTATATATAGCCTGTAAGGAGTCAAATGAGTTTACATAGCTGACATGAAGAACTAACTAACCTCAGATTACTTGAGAGCATCAATCTAACCCTAATGATACAGTTTAGCAAGTGTCTATATCATAAACACACATTTATTTTTAATTGTCAGCAAATGTTAAATCTGATTGAGTGTTGATAGCCCGTCAATAGCCAACCATTATTGGTTGATAACAAAAAATGATAACCCAACAGAAAAGACAAGATAAAACTTGTAAACACATATTATTCACATGTTTCAATGGTACAACACAAAGTATAAAGAGGTGGAAACACATTTTAAATAAAATATCTATATAATAAATAATAATCAACAATGGCAACAAATTAAGAAGTTGAGGACATTACATTTAAAAACTATATACATCACTTTATTTAGGCCATAATAAATAAATATGATATATTAAAAAAATATGTATGTCTTGCAACTCCACAGGCCTTTTCTTTCTCTACTTTTAGTGAAGTATAAATGTACAGGTCATGCTGGAGTTTGGATATCATGTTTACATAGAAAATACAAATATATTGCTAAAGTTTCTTAGGCGAATCATTTTGGGATCATTTTCAATAGCCTATAGTGTAATGGAAATAATGTTTGTAAATGGGGTTTAATGACACAATAGATTAATGGTTGCAGGATGATCCTTTTTTTTACCCCCTGTAGTTATTCTGTGAGTCATCATGTTTTTCTCCAAAGTATACGACCCCCTCCTATCTTGACTTAAATTAGCATAGCAGCAGAAATCCTGAATGCCTTCGGGAAGTTAGTTTTTAAGAAGGTTCACATTGTAAGGTCAACTTCACCGCTAGCAAAACACACAGATTTAAACTTTGGGAGCGGATTTAACATAAAATATGTAATCCTAAACAGGGAGGTTGGACATGGACAATATTCTCACAAGCTCACACTGAGAAAGCCAACAGTTTGCTGCTGCCACCGCAGCGCCGCCGCTTTACAAGAAGTCTCTCCGTCGCCCCTCATCTGAGCTGGAGTCTCGGTGTGCTTCGTGTTTGCCTATACTTCCCAAATCCCTGAGAGCAAACAGGAGCAGGGGCAGATTAGCTTAATATCATCCTTGGCACTATATACACAAAAATGAAATGTCATCCGTGCCCCAGGTATAGTCAAAATAAGAAAGTCAAACTAGGCCTGCCCTGCTCTATAAAGTGCAAAGGGCAACATTTTACTCCCCAAATAATCATCTATCTATCTATCTATCTATCTATCTATCTATCTATCTA